CCCCCCCCCCCCCCCAATTATCGCGCTAGGAACGGCCCTGTGTCCACTAAAAACCATTCGCAGATATCTTATTATTAATAACAAATTGAATTATAATTTTTAAAATTTTCAATTAGTTTTGCTGTTTTGTTTTAAAATGCACCATTACGGGAAAATAATGCACCGACCGCTGAAAGTGCCTCTCAGCCAATCACAGTCCGCCATTAATACTTGCCATATAATAAATCTCGAGTCACACTTTTTTACTTTAAATTCCTTTTGGAATAATTCTATATGAAACATAATCTTTTACGGTCGCTATATCAATTGAATATATCACGTAGCTTTCATGACTGATACATGGAATCAGTGGCGGAGCTAGCCGCATCTAAAATAGGTTAAGGACAATACATCCCTAAAAGTTTGAATAATGCAAATCATTAAACATTTGAATAGCATGACCTGTTGCTATATGTCTAGCCTCGGCACTGGATGAAACGCCGGCAAGTGGCGGCAACCGCATGACCACTAACCAAAACGCCGTTGTTACAAAACAATTAAGTAGACAATTTAGTCTAATTTAGCCAGCAGGTCAATGAGGTTACTTATGAACAATCAGTCGGAGGTGGCGTTTACAACCGCGTGCACATCTTTAGTCGGTAAGGCCTGGCGCACACGATGCGATTTTAGTCGGCCGATAAAAATCGTTTGACATACCGATATACATCGGTACACTCCGCACACGATTGAACTGTAGCCGCCATGTTGCCAAATAAATACAAGCACGTGATCACAGCATGAAATCTGATTGGTCATACTTAAAATTCCACCGATAAAAATCGTATTTTATCAAAACGTTTTGATGTTGTCCGATTAAAATCGAGCAACAAAAATCGGTTAAAAATGACACCGCACACACAACGATTTTGTTAGTTTTAGTCAAACGATTTTTATCGGCCGACCAAAATCGCATCGTGTGCGCCAGGCTTAACTCTGTTGTTGGCTGTTCGAAATGATCATCGCTTGCCATTTTCGATTAAATTACACGATGTAGACCATTTCCTGCTACCAGTTTGGTTTGAAGTCGAAATTATCTTTTAACTTTATTTTTCTATATACGAATCGTATCAATCTTAATTTTTACACTGACTGTTTACTAGTTCGCCTATTATACCCGGGTATGTGAAAACATAGCGGAGTGCAAAGTTGTCCTCCATTTTGTTTATGTCATGGGCGGTTTTCGACGTTATGCGCATGCGCGAGTACAAGCCCTGTCTAAGTATTAATTGTTTTTCATTTTGAAAGGACGTATTTTGAACGTATTTTGCTGTTTTACAGCAATTTTTTGTTGTAAATTTCGTTAAAAAGTTTACAAAAATACAACACGGTTTTTTCCCTGATTTTAACTGGAAATAAGCCTGCAGTTTCATGAATTAGTGGCTGTTCAACCGTGAAACAAAGTTTGTATAATATAAATTGTTTTGATGTTTTGATGTTGATGTCTTTGATAATTTAATCGTTGTAGTGCGGGTTTGGGTAAGTGTAAACATTTCAGTAGTAATATTCCATGTCGTATTTGCTTTTTGTTGTCGGTTTTATTCGTATCTGCAAAATTTTTAAGCCATTCTTAACTCGATAATTCACTTTAAAGCAAGCTGGTATGCATGAAATGGCAGTGCATGTTATCGTTCATTATAAAGCTAGCGCATCAGTTGTGTTTTTATGTTTGTTTATAATGGTCTTAATACTTTATGCGGAGATTTTATACTTCATCTGTTAAGAAAGGCGAGGGGTTGCTGCATGCATGTATTTTCTAGTTACGTTATAAACATTGAATCGCAAAATCGTCAAAATGTCACTTGTCAAGAAAGAGTAGTATACTTTCTAAATGTTAAAAAAATAAGAACTCATATTGCTGCTTTAGTGCCACTTTAACCGCCATAAATTAGTGTGCTCATTTACATCTAATAAAAAATAGTAATAACAATATCAGAAAAATAATAGTAAATAATTTCGCGAGTATTTCTGTTACCCTTTATTATCAACAAGTAAATACCACACGGGAAACTACAACTATTTTTGTTTTGTTTTGACAGTAAATAATTTAATAAAGTTGTTGACTCAAGAGGTTTCCGCTATTCCTCAACTGGTTCTTCTTCATTGTTCACAATGAGACACATGAATTGCGAATTGTTCATGGGATCCAAACATTCCAATGAATATGATGTACAATCGGAACAATCGCTGTTGTCCGTACATGGCATCTGGTAATCTGGACAATTCTGCTGAGCAAGGTTTCGAACTTTCCAGTGATCAGGAGTCATCTATATAGACCGAATAATATGGGTAAAGTCAGAAAGTATAGAGAATCTGGATTTCAATCCTGGATTTGACTTGACAAAGATCATGTCAAATTATAAATAACATTAGATCCAATTGACCACTTGCGCAATAGCGGTGCCCGCTAAGCAAGACCGTTAGAATCTGGATGTTGCTTTCGAACGAAATGGCGGCTGTGGGAGCGAACGATTTTGTTTTCACAATACAATGACGGATTTTTCACATCCATCGATAACTTTTATCTGCAGGGAAACAACTAGAGAACTTTAAACTACAAATAGATGAAATTTCGTGCAGTTTGTGCAATACTGGCAGAAAAAAACGCGTTTACAAGGAGGCGACGTGCGAACACGCTTATTATTATTATTATTTTATTATTATTTAATCATATTTGGAAACGGTAGCTCTTCAGGGCACTTACGCACCTGTTTTTCAAGAGGCCGTTTGGTTAAAAATATTACATAATATAAATATACAGTACAATACAGATAAGTAGAACTACAGGCATGCATATATAACAATATAAGACGATTAACCCTACCGCCTCCCCCCCTCCCCCTTACAAACGAATGCACTACTTAAATTTAGGTTAAGTGCATACACTTTAACGCGAGGAATAAT